CATTAAACGGAAAAAAAGTCATACAGCTTATTATCACTAATACGTTATCAATACAAAATTCTTTTTTAATTGGTGATAAAACATTGCTTTCACTTCCTAAGTATTATCAGGTATTAAACTACGAAGTCGGTGTGATAATAAAGCTAACATAACCAAATGAAAATATTTTTTAAGTCTGATAGCAGAACATACAAACAATTCAATCTCCGAATAAAAGGAAAATCCCTACCGACATTACAGTGTTACTTTTATCATAAACACATTGGTGGGTACCACTAATCTCTTGGAGGCATGACCATAAATGCAAAGACTTTAGGAGCGTAGTAAAAAAAATGCGAAAAAAATCTGAATAACTCCGAAAGGTAAGATTGTGAGATATAACAAGGAATATATCTCCTTATATACTGCCATCGCACGTTTTTTTATTTCAAAAAAAATAAGTCTTTAAAAAAAAAAACCTGCAGTGACCTTGTTATTATAAAATTCAAGTGATTAAAAATCCAAAGGACAATATATGCAAATCAGAATAAAAAAAGGTCAAAGACTCAACAAAATGATAAATTCCGAGGACAAATAAACTATATTAGGGTCAATCATAATGCATCTGCAAACATAGTTGTTGATGGCATAGCCTTGATAGTCAATGTTTTATCGATATTTATCATATACTTAGCATTAATATGATAGCTTTTGCATATGTGTAATGAACGGAAGTACACAAGCCATAATTTCCCACCCGGGCTGATAACCCATATCAGGGGCGTGTCGTGCAAAAAACCCATAACAGTGCCTCTCGTGCAAGTTACTTCCGGTATTTCCGGTATCGTATGTTTACTTTTCCATTGAGGCGTCAGATAATTTTCATTATGACGTCAAAATTTACGGGAACTTTTGGGATGTCCAGTAATGGCGGACAAATAGCGATAAGGTTTATTGGATTCAGTGGTAAATCTGTTTGTACAGAACCAGCTGTTATTGAAAAAAATATGTTAACATGGCTAAATTCGATGATATAGATTTTCAAAATGATGCTAGTTTACAATTAGTACTTGCTAATAAATGCCATTGACAATTATGAATCATCTCATATAGTACAACATGTATTAATAATGATCATAAAACTGTAAATACTTCCTCCATGCTTTCAGCTTCCAAATTTTTAATGTTTCAAAATGCCTTTATAGGAAATGGTACCATAATATATATGGAGGTAGTGATGCTATTGTTGGACAATTATAGTGTATTTGTTGGATTCATGGTTTAACTTCTTTAAAAAGTTTTTGACTGTTTTAGTTATTTCATTTGTTTGTTTGCCTTACATAAAACAATTGTCGGAAGTATATGATAAAGAGATTAATACATGGCCTTTTTCATATCAGACCCCTTATCAGCCCTAGGTCATGTTATCAGCCCGAGAGCCGACAGGCTCGAGGGATGATTTTGACCGTGGGCTGATAAGGGATCTGAAATGAAAAACGACATGTTGTGTTCTTTTTATCATATACTTCAGCAGAAAACATACAGACAAAACTATTTTTAAAACTTTGAAACAATGCATTTGTTGTAATATTTGTTTTGTATTTTTTAATAATATATTTTCCTGATTATTAATATTTTCTTTTTCTCGAACTTTGTTATGTTTTACTAAAAAAAAACGTACCATTGAGGTACATTTTCCGGAATTTGCCGAATGACGTCGAACTGTCATGCGATAACGTTACAGAAAAGCATGCGATAATAACCGGAAGCAGTTGATATGAAACGGAAGCAGTTGATATAAACCGGAAGCAGTTATTAACAAAAGTCATATCACACGGCTAAGGCAATTCTTCAAATTTAATGAATAAATATATGTACAAATAAGTTTTATCATGGGGTACAATTATAACCATTATTTTCTATAAGTATATGATAATTTCAATTTAGACTTGTTTATATATATATTTAGACTCAGGCGGTTTAGAGCTTGTCATATTGTATAGACACCTATCTACTTGTCATGGAAAATATTTTTTTTTTTTATAATAATAGTTTCTAATGAAGGAAATATTTTGGAAAACCGTTTCAACTGGAAGAAAACAATAGTATACAATATGTGTTTCAACAGGAACAGCTACATGTATCATAGCTTTTTTTTAACAAATTTTCCTAAGGAAATTCTGTCACGAGGAACAAAAATACGTTGACACATTGTTGAAGATCGTACTATGTTGATTTTTAGACGTCTTATATTGTTTTGTGTAGTTTCGTTACATGTTTAACCCCGCCACATTCTTCAGTATGTGCCTTTCTCACTCCAGGCTCGAGTGATTCAGTGCCATTGGTTGACTTTTGTAATAAGTGTTTTTCTTTACTATTTTGTCATAAAAATTTGGTTTTCTCGTTCAAATTGTTTCACATTATATAGCTGACTATACGTGATGGGTTTTTCTAAGTTTCTATTGACACATACCAGACAAGTTCTGTTACTAAGTTGAAAAACTTGTGTCTAATCCGTTTGTCCCTTTTTTTAAACAATGAAATATGTTTAGACTAAGATACCAGACATCTTCTTTTATTCAGAATTATTTTTGAAACATGTAGCATCTTGTTACATGTGTGTGATTATGATAACGTTTTTGATATGATTATGTTTCAAACGCATTAAATGTTTTATATTCGTATATCTTCTACGGCTGAGAAACATTTCCTTTTACATATAGATTAAAATTGATCGATAAAAACTAAATTTAAAGATTTTTTTTGCATAGAATGGTATTGTATTGATATATATTTGATTATAACATCAATTGGCATGTTTGAAAGACGAGTGGATGATATTAAGGGCGTTTTGCATTTGCAACATTTTTTTTTTTTTTTTTTTAATCAAAGTTTGCATTTGCGCCAAAGAAAACATATTTCATTTGCACCATTTTAGATAACCAAGTAAAATCATTTTCATTTTTGATAATTTACTGTTAGATATTTATTTATCTGAAGCCAGTATGTTAGTGGTGTTCTAAGATAGTTTGAGCTAATTGATTGTAATACACTTTATTTGGTAAAATGAATCTTTTGCATAATGCAGCAAACTGCAGAAATAAATCAATTATCTTTGATTAACATTCTTATTGGGTATCAATTATTTCAAAGAAAAAACGGAAATATTTTCTATAGATGTACAAAACAGTCATGTACATCTAGAACTACTACTGATAGAAATAAACAAACAGTTGTGAAAACTTTACACAAGCATCACTATATTTCAAATGACTGTGAGATTGAGAAAAGTAACTTTGTGTTAGGGGATGACAATTTGAATTTCGGGGACAAGAAAGGTGGGAAGGTAATCTGAAATGATAATCATTTCCATCTGTTATAGGCCGGCTTATTTTTGTGTCAACATTTTTATAAATATAAGTGTAGCAATTTTTAGCTGCAGTATTAAAAAAATATAAGGTCAATGTCAGAAAACTTTTTTGTATTCGGTACGAAACGATTGAAGGGTCGATAAACCTCGCCCTTCCCAAGTTTCTTTGCATCATACAAAACTTTAATATTTTTTCTGATATTGACCTAATATCGTATATGTATCGAATTTGTCATTCACCTTGGAGTTTTTTGTCATTAGCCTATTAAAGGTTTGTATTGTTTTTGTCCTTGTGTGTGCTTTTGTCTTCTTTTTTTTTATCTTTTTTTTCATTATTTATTTTATGAGTTTGCTTTTTGTGTTTCTACTCACCACTAAAATTTTGAATAGTATCCTTTACGTTATACAATGCCATTTTCAATTAAGGTTACGATAGCGTGCCAATAATACTAATTGAATTATATAACAATTTCGAGAAAAAAATATGTATTTTACTACTGTAACATATTGCCATTATTGTCACCAGTTCTAGTAAGGATTCAATGACTGAGATATATCGATAACTGGCGACAAATAAAAGAGGGACGAAAGATACCAGAGGGACAGTCAAACTCAAAAATAAAAAGACAAACAGACAAATAATAGTACAGATGACACAAAATAGAAAACTAAAGACTAAGCAACACGAACCCCACCAAAAACTGGGGGTGATCTCAGGTGCTCCGGACGGGTAAGCAGATCCTGCTCCACATGTGGCAAATAAGTTAACAAATAAGTTTTACATGGAAAGCAAATACAATATATAGGGAAAACAGGTTTCTTAACTACGTTGTATTCTAATACTTGAAAAATGATCAACTGCCATCAAAACGAGGTTATGTATACTTGCTGTTTGACGAGAAATATGACTGTTGATCCTAAATGACCGTCAATCAAGAACCATCGTTAATCTGAATGAAATACATGCAAATGAAATTTGCAATTGTAACGATTATATACTTAGACACATTGTGAATCTAATTTTATGTTATATACATTAAGCAGGTAAAGTTCTATCTCTTATATGGAAGAGAGAAGCGAAAGATACCAAATGGATATTCAAAGTCATAAATCGAAAAAAAACTGACAATGCCATTGCAGGAAACGAAAATCGACGAAAATATGGACAATACGTTTTGGAGTTATTGTCTCTGAATTGTCAATTTGATAGGTCATTTCGAAGTTTTTGGTAATTAGGCTGAAAACTATAAAAGATAGAGAGATTTTTTTTACATTTTGCATTTAAATGACCAAAACAATAAGATTCATAAATAAGTCAACATGGCAGAAATCGTCAATTTATCCCTTATAGAAATTGTTGCCTTTGGCTGTTGATTTTAACCCTTTTTGCATTTTTTGTGGTTACTAGTAGATAGAGAGAATTTTCTTGAATTAAAAATTGTTCAGCAAATTAAGATCTACAAATAAGTCAACATAGACGAAATCGTCAATTGACTCCTTACAGTGACTTATTATCACGTTTGACAACCGAGGAAAGAAACGTGACAGAATGGAAGGCACTGTTTTTGCCAACCCACATAAGTAATCCTGTTTCTGATGTCTGAAATGACACAATGATAACTGAGAATTAAACAGTCTGATAAATCATCTAAAAGTAAAGACAATTTAATAGTGAAACCTTGTCACACTCAATATTTATCGTACTACAAGTATCAAGAAGCAGTTAGATTCTAAATCCCGAGAACACTGAAGAGGTTGTATTTTCTGACCATGATTCAGTTAAATAATCCCCAAGTTGTTCAATATTTATCCAGGATTCTTGTCCTTTAGTCATATCGACAATTACACTAATAGATCCAGTCACATAGTAATCACCAAAGAATGTAGTGTGTACTGCATTAATATTACTAGCTATAGGTTTTCCATCAACTACAAGAGCACTAGTGAAACCTTCATTTGTTGCCCAGGAGAATGTATATATTCCATCTTCTTTACATGTAAACTTTCCGGTTGTTCCATTGTAAGTGCTGCCAATGTTAAGTGGTACAACATCAAATACAAGTATTGTGTCCTGATTAAAATTCCTCTTGTCAGAAGACAAATGTGAGAAAAATGCATGTTTAAATCTATCCTTAACTTCAAATTTCTGCTCGAATTCTTCAATTTTTATATTAAAGCGTGTCTCAATTTTCTTGTTATTATCTTTAAATAATGTCAACATTTCTTCAGTTTTGTTTTTCATGAGCTGCTCCATCTTGTCTGTTTTTATTGCTTGTATTTCCTCATTGTCTTTAAAAAATGTCAATATTTCTTCAGTTTTGTTTTTTATTATTTGTTCCATCTGATATGTTTTTGTTGTTTGTCTTTTTCCCACCTCTATAGACTTGACTGTTATTTCTGTATTAGTCTTTTCAAACATTGTCATAGTTTCTGTTTTCATCTTTTCATACAGTGTCCTAATTTCTGTTTTCATCTTTTCTGTTTTGTTTTTTATGAGCTGTTCCGTCTCATCTGTTTTTAAGGATTGTCTTTCTTCCACCTCCTTAAACTTGGTTGTTATTTCTGCATTCATTTTATCAGTACTGTTTTCTATCATGTGTTTCATCAGATTTTCCATTGCTGTCTTCACACCTTTTTCAATCTCCTGTTGTATGTATGCCTTTAAATGCTTATTCATTTTAGATACATCCAAGTCGGCTTTCAAAGTTGCTCTCATGTCGTCTATTATTGGCATAGATATAACTTCACTACAGTGTTCTCCATCGCAGGAGTCTGATTCGGATAAGGACAAAAGTGTGTCAACTAGAATGACATGAATGATGATAAAAGTCACCAATATGCCTTTCATTCTAAGCTGTTTCAATATACTACCGAACTTGCTAATTTGAATAAGATGTGTATGCCATTTGTACTATTTACAAATATTTATCTGCTTATGGTAAAGTATCTACTTTATATACCAACTGAAAATGAATCCCTTTCAATGTGGCATAAAGTATATTGTTTTTGTAAAACACTTACACAAAGTGCTAGATAACTTTCAAAGGTTTTCTTACGTAATCTACTTCATATAATTTTTTATAGACTCTTGGGTATACTCTTAATTTCTTTACATCAAGAAACTTGTAAGCATTTAAATAAAGCACATCAACTAAAACAGTACTTGTAATATCAGTATGTAAAGAAAGCTTATACATTTAGGAAAAGAAACCTAATGACAATTTATTTTATTGTATAATACTGAATGACCAGGATGAGTAAAGACATTTATCAGATGACTGTTTAAAAACTGTATTTGTCTGCAGATCTGTTCAAGTACCACTTTCTGTCAGAATTGCAGAAAGAGACTAGTCAATGTAAAAAACTGAGGGAATCGCATGAACTTCAAAAGTAGCGAGACCAGGTGCGTCGACAGTGTAAGCGTCTCATGTTATGCATGCATCAATGACAGGAACAGACCATCGTATTAAAGAGTGATTTGTCTTGTAAGCAGTTTTCAATAGCTTTAAACAGATAATTTTCTTTTTTTCCCTATTTTACAGATTTTTCTAAAAAGGATTAATATTAAAAAGTCAAATTCGTATTATTAATGCATAAGTCTAATGTACACAGTTTGCATTTGTGAAACGAATAATTTTTATCATATGAAGTTTGCACCACAAATTTTAACCTTGAACCTTCAATTAAATATATGGGTGTATTATGGGAATTTGAAATTTCCCATATTTCAAACATGTCATATGCGCTTTTCTTTAAGAAATATGCAGAATTAAAAATAACGTCTTTACTATAAATGGTCAATTATAGATTAAACGGACACTAGCTGTCAAATTCATGTTCACCGATTTGACTCAAATTCTCATATTTGATTTATAACAATGTAAAATATTTATCCAAACTATTAAAAGTCTAAAATAAACAGTTTACCAGGCATGGGCTCGATAATATGTAGCTTCGTTTCGTGTGTATTTTAGTCTAGACGCCATCTAATTAACTATCGAGTTGACCTCCGAAGACCTCCGATGACCATATAAGCGATGTAAATATAAATATAGGAATAAATAGATTAAGCGAACTCGTGCAATTGGATTTTTCTAGGTCTGTTTAATTTCATATTATAGATTTAAAATATATGTTTATCATCGTTTTTGCCTGTATAAGAATGATTTTTTGTGGATCGAATCAGTCAATCAAATGATTTACCTTTGTTTCCCATTCAATGTTGACAATCTTTTCCTTTAAATAACTTTACATGCAGCACAATGCATGCGTTATCCATCTCTACCTAAGGGGTTAAATTGAAGTTCACATGAATATGGATTCAATGAGGTCGAATTATTCACTTGCAAGTGAATAATTCATCATCAATGTTTCTTCGCTTATTTTGTCAAAATTGAACCATAGTGGCTGCTAAAGGCGAATAATTATTTCACTATTTCACTTTCATTATGATTGAACGAAAAAAAATCATATTTTAGATTTTTTATATATCTCGTAGCTAGTGCCCCTTTAAACAACATCAGAACACAAGTGATTGGACTATTCTTTAAATACCACTTTGAAGTATGAAGTTTTCAATCTAACAATTAACGACATATTCAATTGTAAACTTTCTTTTGTTTTTTGTAATTTCCAAATCATGTCACAACCCCTTTTGTAAACAGGCGCTTGGGAACAGGATTTTATATGTTATATTATTTTTATTAATTGCAATGAATATTCAATTTTCTTTTTTTTTATACCACACACTTAATACTACTATGCTTGTCTTACCTTATACAATTCCTTATTTTACTATCTATACTTAGAAACAACAAGGCAGCTAAATTGATGCCATTTTTTTTTAAACTTCGATATCCGTGCCCAGAAATAGTTAATGCACTTTGTAAATTTCTTCATACACATGCATAGAAAAGGGGTCACGAACCTTTAAACTAAAATTATATTTAGTATTCCGGTGTGCTCGAAAATTTCAGTTTTGGGAGACATGTCATGTTCAGGAACACCTTAAAAGTTAATGTATTGAAAGAATTTAAATTACGGAATTATTTGAAAGTTTTTAATGTTTGGACGAAAAACTCATATTAAACGTATTTGATAATTTGCTGGTCTAGAATGATCTTCGATAAATATGTTAAATATGGTATATATAATAGCTTGTACAGAACTTCCAAGCTATCAAAATCTACCAAAATTGAATAAAAACTAATTATTTTGCGGCTGATACGCTTTAGAAACCACGCTCCACCAGCAATTGTAAAATTCCAGCGGTGCTGCAAAATTGGTTTCGTAATTTCATTTCTCTGCATTTTTTCTTCAAATCAAATGTTTAAAAACAGAAATGTCAACATAATTCCCTAAATAATATTGTTTGATCTAATTATTACAAACATAATTGAATTGACCTGCAGTATGGTTGCTGCTAAAGTATTGAGAATGAGATTCAAATTAAATTACTGGGCTGTTTTTCCTCAAGGGAACAAACGAATGCAATCTATTTCCAGCTGACAAAAGTACACAGATTGCATTTCAAAACTTTTGATTGGATGTCAATTTATGAAAAGATTAGCTGAAGGGTTTTTGTTTCTAATCTATCACTTAAACATGACTGTTTTATAATGATGATAGTTAAATCGTTATTAAGATAGATCGCTTGATGTGAATTTTTATTGCATTAGCAACAACATTGCTTCAGCAAAATAACAAGGTATATATACACATATATGTCTTTTGGAAAATGTTGTTTGTGCTGCATTTAGAGCCCTCCACCAAGAATTTTTTTTTGCATGCACATTTATAAAAATTAGATTCCAAAAAGCTCTATTACTTTAAACGAAAACAGTAATGACTTCTTTTATGGAGTTCAAGTAGTTTGAGTTTGCTTTCAGCAACTGATAGCATTCCTTGCTATGGTATTGTTTGTCAGGTATTACTTGTAACTGTGTTTTTGTTATCTATTATACTGGTATCACAAATAAAGGTTTTTTTCTGAAGTAGTTGTTTGATTGACCGCAAATGTAACTTTAGTGATTTCACTGATAGGGATTAAAAGAGGAAGGTTTGAGTGTAAATACAATCATATTATGTATATATGTTTACACATCACAAGTCTGGAACCTTCTCAGTGGTTGTCGTTAGTAATATCTTAGTGTTATTGTCATTAAGGGAAGTAATATGGTGTTGATGGTTGATCATTAACAGGATCTGTTAAGTATATTCATAGTTTATAATGACATGTAGTCATATATAGCTTTACATATTATATATTAGACATTTATCTTTTTATTGAGGTCGGTATAACCTTCAAAAGAGAGGCGAAAGATACCAAAGGGACATTCTAACTCATAAGACGAAAATAAACTGACAACGCAAAGGCAAAACAAGAAAAAGACCAAAAGACAAACAACAGTACACAAAACATAACATAGAAAACTAAAGACTGAGTAACACGCACCCACCAAAAACCGTGAGTGATCTAAGGTGCTTTGAAAGGGTAAGCATATTCTTCTCCACATGTGGCACCCGTATTTATCTTTCAAACAATTGTGGCGTTGGGTTATCGTGTCACTGAATCATACCCGACATCTCTTTTTATTTCTTGTAAGTGCTAATCAAAATTGTTTCCATTCAAATTTTACGGAAAATTGATTTGTATGGAAATTTCAGAGATCTAAATTTTTGGCATGAACATATCCTATCAATGTTATTTCCACCAAATATGCTGTTTATCTGTGACTATTAATCATGGAAATGAAGCGATAGCTAAAAACCATTTTTTAAACAAACTTATTATGGTAGGTCAAATGTTATACGGTACAGAATTTCAGACTATACTGATACTGGTTATAAATAACCATTGTTTACATTAAATCAAATCACATTCGTTGTGAGTCGTACTTTGAACCGTCAACCCCGTGAGCACTCATTATGGAAATTTTTAATGATTTGAAAGCGTTAGTAGCCACCATGAAGTTAGAAAGAAATGAACCGGAGTGGAAATTTATCGCCAGTTCTGACCAGGTTACAGTCCAACTCACCTGGTCGGAGCAAGAAAAAAGGGAAAAGAACAAAAGCAGATCCATCACTGCAACAATAGGTCCATGAAGTCCGCAATATCCACCCAGATAGCTGGTCACTAAAACCCAACATCTATATATCTAAATCAAAGCACAATATACCGTATCTGCATCACTTGATGTCCCCTCCTGAATTAATGATAAACGTTTGTTTTCATAAGTCCTTATAACCAAAAATATTTAAACATGTAGGTAGCTATTTTAACAAATGTGTCTTGAAATACTTCAAATCGGTTGATGTCAACTTTAAACTGTTTTTAATTTTTATAAAAAAAAACTACGTAATTAAACAAATTAGAACTTATCGAAATATAGAGTACAAATGAAGACCATTGTAAAAAGACGATATACACAGCGAACAACCATCAACCAGTAATGGTAGCAAAACAAATCAAGTTCCACCGAAACGACCATGAAGGGTTTACCTTCATAAAGAGTATCTTAAAACACCTGCATGATTACTTTTTTTTTTAAACGAATGAAAATTTATAGAAACAGGTTTTATCTTTTATACATAATGCCACTTGTAGACAGCAAGTCAAGAACATTAGATGCAGTACCATGGAATAAATTAAGGCGTTGTATTCGCATTTTGATGTGCTGATGAGTAAGACAAGAAGTTGAGAATATACTAGTAATAGGTATGCTAAATACCAATGCCGTTTATTTAACATATAAAATAGTAGGAGATCGAGTTATATTAAGATTATAATCAAATACTGAGTAGTGTCGTTATACTCTGTGAACTGAAGGTAATGTTTTTTTTTCTTAATTTAATTGGAATTAAATTGTCAGATAACATGTTAATAAGTTCACGTTCTCAATAAACTGTCGTTATGTTGTGCAAGACGTCAAAGGAGAAGTATTACTGCCGATGATTGCAGTGCTTTCTTTGACTTATAT